TGTGTGTGTGTGTGTGTGTGTGTGTGTGTGTGTGTGTGTGTGTGTGTACATACTGTTTTTCTCTTTAGATGACTCAGTCACAGTGTGTGTATTAAGTCTAATGCTGATGTAGATTCCCCTCCCCTCCATTAAAATTAACTAGAATATACTGAGAGTTTAGAAGAGTTCTGACTACTTGTTTGATGTCTAGAAATCTGCATCTGTACCAAAAAAGTACAGGTAGCGTGAGTGTGACAGCGTCTAACCTCTATTGACTCCACAAGAGGGAACAGCCCCCATCAACAACATCCACAACACAAAATAGATTTCTGTGAGGTCAGACATGCCCCAGGCTTCCTGAACCTACTTCTGTCAATTCCAGCACTATTGCTCCCAGGGCTCTAGCTGGTCTATTATTGAATCCCCTAATGCCTTGCTGAATCCCCTAATGCCTTGCATTGATCACTGAACTCACAGGCAAAACTTGTGATTATGTGGTTTATTAGGGAAGTTAACGGGTTATAATTCAGCTTAGAAAACTGGGTATATTCTTCATTCAGGACTGATAGCTTCTCAGGTGTGCTCACAGACCCTCTGACCTTCACTTTGAGGCTCTAGGTTGGTGTTACACAGCTCTTGTTATGTACCTTCAAGTCTGACCCTCCAACTGGTTTTCAAAGGCTATAAATCCCATGGGAGTATGTTGCTCATCGTTCTCCTGAAAAGCAGCAGGTGAATTCGAGCTGCCTGCCTTTGAGTTGGCAGTACAAGTCCTTACCCACTGGGCCACCAAGAGAACGTCCTCAGCTCTACTAGTCAAGCCAGTTATGGCCTATGTCCTTCCCTCATCCACCCACCATGGTCGAGTATGCTGAGGTGGCTATGGGGCCAAAGTACAGCTCTCATGCTGGACTCCAGTTGTCCGCCCTGCTGCTGGTACTGTGTCTCTGTCTGTCTTCATCTTGTGCAGGACTATCTCTGACCCCAAGCTGTATTCACTGATTCATTCTTGCTGGTAGCAAGATTACCGTATTCTGCTTCGAGATCTACTCCATTTAAGCCTAGAGGAATGATGCAATTCACTGATACCCCTTTTAATAGTCTATATAACTTTTTAACATGTCCCATCCAAAAAAGTTATCAATTGTTTCATTTGCATCATTAGTATCATTCCATCCAGGTATTTGGTGAAAGTCAATACCAGTGGTTAGAGAAGCCATTTTGAACAATCAACCCACTGCACCACAAACTGGAATACTAATTTATTCTTGTAGCTTAATTTGTAAAATAAAAATTATTACCTATTAACCAATATTTTTCCTCTCTCTTTAGTTGCTCTTCAACAACGGGTAGCAGAATTGGAAAAAATTAATGCAGACTTTTTACGTGCACAACAGCAGCTTGAACAAGAATTTAATCAAAAGAGAGCAAAGTTTAAGGAGTTATATTTGGCTAAAGAGGGTAAGTTCATATATTTCTGCCTTCCCCTCCATCCCCTGGCCCCATCACTCTAGAGTTGTTAGAAAGTGATATCAGAGTTCTTAGTTGGTCAATGTTATTTTATTATTAAACAAAGTAAAATCTGCCAAAAGCCAGAACCTATGTAAGATAGAAATCTGTCAGAAAAAGAAAACTCAAATATTTTTCACTAATACAGAGTGATAGAAAAGTGGTAAGGTTTTATCCTGTTAAAGGCATAAAATACTCAATTCTTGGAAAAACAAGGCAATGTTGGTGAATCCTGACTCTCACACATTTCAGTGTATTAAGTAACTGTGTGATAATTGCTTGAAAAGAATGCTGTGTAATGCATGAGAGCATATCATAAGGAACCTAATCCGAATAATTAAGGACAAGTTTTGTATTTCGGATGTTGACCCAGGAGAATATGAATATGATTTCTACAGTTCTAGACTTGTTATTATCATAGGGTCATCTTGAAACAGCAGTTAACATTATCTCCACTGCCTGGGAAGCGTGTTAGAAATCCAGATTCTTGTCTACCACCCTAAATTTACTAGTCAGAGAGACTGTTGTGGGGACAGCATTCTGCAGCCTGTTTTAACAAGTTTGGCAGATGATTCAAATGCAAGTTAAGTTTTGCTCAAGCCAAGTCCAAACATTAACGTAGATAAGAATGTTACTGACTGTACTAATTTTTTTTTAAATAATTTTAATGAGCATTTACAGAGATTTTGGCTTTCCATTCATTCATTGCTACACTTCTCT